GAAGCTGATTTTGGTATATTTGATGAATTAGAAAATCGTATACCTATACCAAGAAATAATAATATACCACGAGTACAAATGAGCAATATGATGGGAACATTAAATAGTTTACCAGGTCATGAAAGATTTGATGATCCATCGGGAGCAGCTAGTATATTTTCGGATATTCGAGATCCTGATGATGTTGAATTAGTTACGGATATGGTCGATGATATGACTAAAGATGATGATATCGAAGATGAATTTGTTGAAGCATTAAATCCGAATTTATCAATTCCAAGATTGAATCCACAATCTGAAAGGCAACCAGCGGGATGGTTCTCCGTATGTTTAAATTAATCATATATTTTCATATATATATAATATATATTTTTGTTTTAGTTCTTTCAAAATTCTTAAATAAACATATTTAATATGTTTCTTAACTCATTTTTTTATTCATTTGACTGCTGGCTCAGTCTACATCATATTTTATTCATATCGCTATGTTATCGAATTTCTATTCTTAACATCTTCGTTTTTTTTTCGCTTTTTGTTTTATATTGTTTTGTTTTGTTTTTCTTTATTGTTTGTTCTTTTTTTCGTACTTGATTATCCCGAGTGATTATTTGTGCGAGAAAGATGATCGTATTCAGTGATATTATTACAGATGATTAACAATAAGAAAAACAGTGAATGCTTTCTTTTTTCTTTATTTACATAATTATCTTATATATTCTTATTTTTTTTGCCTCGATTTCCTTGTATAAATAAAATCATTTAAGATGTTTTCATTGTTTTTAATTCTGAATCATTGATCAATCTAAAGTTCAAGTGCATGTACAACAACAATAATCCAGCTATTCTAAATAGTGAAAGTTGAATAGACATATTAAATATTTCAACTGTGCACATGAATAGCATTCAAAGACGCATGTCGCTTTAGATTCATCTCAAGTGTCCTTCACTTTGATGTAAAGAAATAGTTTTACACTTATAAATATCATTCGATTCAAAAGGACTAGTATTATCGATTTCATGTTGATTACAATGAAATTTCTCCTGTAGCATTGTAACATATAACAGAAATAATTTAATTCAAGTATTTTCTCCTAGAAGACCTAAACTAATTTTTTGATTATATAGAAATGCTCATTGCATGTTATTTTATAGAATAAAAATAGTATTCTACTGAACACGAAATAGAAAGTCTCGTATGCAATTACTGTCATACAACAAAAATGGTTAGTATTCATAACAAAAAGTAATATTATTATTTCAAACCAGTATAATAAATATAGAAATTTTACTAGGAGAAAGCAATTATATTAGAACGAAGTTTGATTTCCCGAGCCTATGAAACTTTTTTCCTATGTGTAAAAGGTGTTCAAAGTATTTCATTTGTTTTTGTTATATCATATTGAGATGGATTACTAACTGAGTTTGTTTTCTTCATGATTGAAAAGAAATTGAATATATTTAACGACACTATATTACATAAATTTATTTTTAAACGGGAATAATGATAATAACAACAACAATAGTAATAAGAGAAAGAAAAGTGGTGACTAGTGAAGAATATCTATTAAGATAATTCATTTTTTTGGAATATTGTAACTCGTTTTTTTAGTTTTGATTCAATTGGATATATATATATGAAAGATTATTGCTTTTTGCGCACTGTTCGACAGAAATACAAACAACAACAATAATAACAACAACAAGAAAAAAATATTGAGAATATATTTAAGTTTGTATTATTTTATCTGAGAACATCGGAAATAAATGGAAACTTTCTAACATTATTAGATCCAGTTGATGATGGATCATCTGTACTTGCCATTGTGGAATAATCACCAAAAACAAATCGAAAACTAAATATATAAAAAGAAAAAACAAAAGATTCATAACAAATTTCTAGTAAATATATCTTATCAATATCGAACATACATTAGTATAACAACAATAGACAATATCAAAATAATAAATAAATTTATACAAAAATAATATACAAAACGTAGTAATAAAAACAAATGGGTTATCATTTTTTATTTTATGTGTTTATTGAGTTGATGATGGTGGTGAAAGTATCGGAATATTTGTTTTTGGTGTTTTTTGATTATTACTAAAAAGATTTTCAACAGAAAATCGTTTTGATGTTGATGAGATATTTGATTCAATAGATGGTGAAGAAAATGTAGAATAAGATTGTTTAACAGTTGGTGATGATGTTAATGATTGATTGGAAATATTATGTTTTATTGATGGCGATTGCTTCAATTTTGGAAATAATGAACGTAGACTGGAAACAAATAAACAAAAACAACATCGAAATTTAGACAAAAAACATTTAAAGCAAAAGCTGGAGTTGTTAGTTAAAACTTTAGTATTTAACATTCTTACACACTGATTTAGACTAATAGAAAATAGTCTATGAAAATGAAACATGCAAAATCGCTGAAAATCAAATATTTGGTCGAAACAATTCATGCACAATAAAAGAAAAACAAATCAATGTATATAGGTGTGCATAGTTTTGCTTGCAATCATGCCAGAAGCTTACCAAAATGATATAATTGCAAAGCAAGCAATAATGGGAAAGAATAGACAAAATTTTACACTGAAAGTAAATGGAAGATACATATATATATTACATATACAACAAGAGGAACATGCTAGGGGATAAGCAATTATTAGTATACGACATTTTAAATACAATAAGAAACATTTAACTTACAATTGACGAATTTTCGATTCATCTTGTTTTTCACCGTATAATTTTTCATCTGGTTCTAATGGAATTGGACCTTCAACAGCTCCATTATTATCATCATCATCTTCTCTAGAAATAAATAAATATATTAACATAAAAAAATAAGTTTTTTTATTATTTATACTGTTCTTTAAATAATCGTAATTCTTCTTCAACTTCCATTAATTTAGTTTTTAAATCATTTCGTTCCCATAATACTTGTCGTAATTCTTGTAGGGAAAATCGTGGTTGATTTGCTTCGAGTGATGTTAACTCATTGATTGGATTCTATACAAGAAACTTTGTTTTTATTTTTATATTTTCTTAAACTTACAGTCGGTGATGATGGACTAGTAAGTTCATCAGTAACACTATCTTTCATATGATTAATAAAATATTCTTTTTCCTTAAGTTGAACTTCTAAATCAAATTTTTCAACCATTAATCGTTGAGTTTGATTAGTAGAGAATGTATTCTTTTGTCGTAATGTACAATTTAATTTACAAACACGCTCAAGTTGACCTTGAATCTAAACGACAATCAATAAATTTCTAAAGTTAAATCACAATTTATTACTATCATATTAATAATTATTTTATAGCTTATCAATTCAAACTTTTGATAAGAAGAAATAGGGTTCATATTGACTTTTTTGTTTGAATAATAAATAACTTGAACCTTGCTTTTTTTTTCTATTTCGTCATTGTAAATCTTTTAAATTACATCTCAATTTACCAGGATTTATGAAACGAATTATTAGTAATTAATTAATATTAACTGATTAATTAATGTTAATTGATACTTTCTGTCACATCTGCGATAAGCTGTTTCGAACGTATCTGTCACGTCTGTGATGAGTGATTGTCAAGGTGTCTGTTATGTCTGTGAGAGGAAGGGGGCTGGATGGTAGATGCAAATTTCTACCTCTAACACTTCAACACTTCTTTTAGTTCGTGTTTGACAAAAAAGAAGAGATGGTAAACATCGATAAAAACCATCTGCCACTGAAGATTCATTAAATCTGATGAGTTATGCTCGATTGTGGAGTCAGTCAATTGCAGTACTACAATACAAACAAATAGTAGCAAATCCAAATAAAGAATTTCGCAGTGAATTATGAATATTTAGATAACCATCAGAAACTAAAGATGTTTGTAGGAATATTTCCAGTATATTAAAACATGTTGCCTATATAATCAATACTATCCGAATCGATTTTAGCATATATTTATTCCACACTAAAATCCAAAGAATTAATAAGAGATTTAATTAAAAAATCTCATCTTGCAAATATGTGAAAGAAGCTTGTTATATTGAATTTCCTTGAATTTTTAATCTAGAAAAAAACTCCTATACAAGCCATATATTCATTCTGTTCGACACGATATCTTTCAAGTGCAGTAGACTATTTGTAAGTTGCAATATACAACGTTTATGACGTACTACTAATCATCTTATATAAAAGCTTTTTTGTCTCTGTAGAATCTAATCGAGTTTAACGAAAAAGATTCTTCTGCATTGTTTGTAAGAAAAACTTTTTCTTAATCCTAAAATATATTGAATCTTCTTCTAATCTATTTTTTATATTTCCTTAACCATTGCAATCTAGAATTGACATCATATCTCTTGATTGAAACTGACACATTCAAAACTATCAATATTCAAACTGATAAAAACCCATGGGACGTGTGAGCGAAAAGAATGCTTGATTAGAATTATATTATAATTATTGTGTATTCGCTTGAATGATTATTTGAGAAGGGAATGATAAAATCTAACTTCTATAAAATTAATTTTACATACCGCTTCCATATCAAATGTTTTTTGTGTTAATTCTTTATCTTTAACTTTCACAGTTCGTTTTAATTTCATATTTTCATCAGTTAAATTTTTAATGCATTGAAGTTCTTCACGAGTAAGACCTATTTAAAAAAATAGGAAAACTTAACAAAAAGAAAATAAAAATCTTCATACTAATTGTTTCTTTTGGACTAGGCATATTGGATTTATCATCTAAAGCATTTTTATGTTGAATTTCATCACGTAATCTTCGATTTTCATCTTCTAATTTCGAAACCAATGCCATAAGATTATCGGCCTAATAATTCAGAAAAAAAGCGAAATTTCTAAATATAAAAATGCTTGTTATATTATTTTCATTACTTCTTTTCGCCATTGATCTTCGATAAGTTCAAGTTCTTGATCAAATTTATCACGCAGTTCACGTGTTTCATTTTTTTCAGCTTCTAAACGTTCAATACGTGTTTTCATTTCCATTAATCGATCAGTTTCTTTTTCATTCTTCGCTGCTTGTAATTCAAGTAATTCAAGTATACGAATTACTTTCGGTACAAGATCACGAATTGTTTCTGTTCCATAAGCTATTAAATATCAAAAATTTTATTAAATGTATGAAAAAACAACACAAAATAATTTCGAATTACCTTCAATAATACGTTCAAAATCTTTTCCAATGAGTGCCGCTTCATCATAAACATCCAGTACAGTTAAATTAGGATATTCTTGTCGTAATAGTGATGAACAAGTCATTTCTCGTATTACATCAATTGATGTTCGTGAATCATGTTGATTAGTAGTTGTTAATGGA